TAGTTGCACCGTAGGCATGTCATAATGTTTAAATAAATAATTAAAAAGATAAGCTAATTAAGCTACTGGGTTCATACCCCATTTATTAATTTTTTTTTAATAATTAAATTGTAAAACAACAAGCAAAAAATTTTTGAATTCCAAACAAAAAAAATTAATTCATCGCACATTTGTAATGAAAAGTAGTATTAGTATGAAGCGTTTAGTTAAAAAAGTAATTATAAAAACTCATGCAACACTACTACAGTACAGTTATACAAAGAGAAATAGAATTTTTTTTTTCAAAACATTGTAAAAGACATTTAAGAATACACATACATATTTATGTAGGTAGTAAAGTATATAGGTAGATATGTATGTATGCATGTGATATGAGTTATACAGCGGCAAGGTAATGCATAGTAATAAACATATATAAATAAAGTAGACAGTCCAGTGTTGACAAATAGTCGTTAAAGGATTGCATTTAACTTAACTACACTTTTAGCTTAATTTTTTTTTTAATTTTCAAAAAAAAATTTTTTTTTTTAAGTATCAAAAACTCTTTTTTTCGATTTTTTTTTTATTTTTTTGCCCTCGAACTAGTCTAGCTGCGCAACATTTTGCTGCCTTAGTCAAAGTTTGAAACAATATTTTATTATACATATATTTTTTTTTATTCTTTTAGGTAATATACATTTAATTATTTTTATATTTAATTTAAAATCATTAAATACTAATTCATCTTTTTCGTTTGTCAGCGCATAGCAACAACTATACAAGGCAGTGGAGCGCATAATCAACAACACATGATCACCTCGTCTATATCGTCTATGAGCTGAGCTGGCTCGAACGCGAAAACTTAAAAATAACAAATCTTATATACACGCCATATGAATCAACCGAGGAGCAGCAGCAGCGTTTGTGCCGGTGACGAATATTGCTGACGATGACAAATGTAACAGCAAAGAATTAAAAAACATTTAACTTGTTTTTGTATTTATTTGTTTAACATTTTTTCCTCGAATTAGCTATGTGAATTAGCTATGTGCTTGAGCGCGCCTAATGCCAACTAACCATTAGTAAGTGTAGCGTCTGTAAACTATACTCAGCTAATCATACAAATAATGATTCATTAGGGTAAGTGCCAAAAGTGATTTGTTGTAACGGTCAATTATGGCGCATATTGCAACATATGCCGCCGATCTAAGCCAAATTGCCGCTCGAAAACACCAGTGAAGAGAAGCGCAGGAAGCGCAAATAAAAAATAAATTGCTCTTCCAACTATTTTTTCCTAGTTTTATTGCCTCAAATGCCGCTAAAGTATATAAGGACGCTTGAAAAATAACAATTTCTTACTATTTGTCACGATTTCTACGGTTTTTTGCCACACGGTGCATGCAAAAAATACTAAAAATACTAACTTTGTCCTATTTCGCTTTATTTATTAATATATTATTTATTTTTAAAAAATTCAACAACAAATTGAAGTTGATGGAAAACAAATAAAGTGCTGTCAGCCGACAGCGAAACGATAAATAATGTCTTTTATTGTTTTATTTTTTTCAAATTTAAACTTAAAATGCTGCGGTATTATTTTTTCCCCCATTTTTGTTTGGCAGTGTTTCAATGCACGGCGTGTCGGGCAACAACAGGTGTTGCTGGCGGGTGGCAGCGGGGCGAATGGAACGCCGGCTAAAAATACAATACACTAATCGACATAATTTCAAAATAACCAAAAGGCTAATCTCCATAAGTAGGCAACCAATGTTGTGGATTATAAAGAAAAATTAAAAATAAAAATTCTCAAAAATGAAAGTTTTCAAACATATACAAATTTGTGAAAATTAGAAAAAGAAATTGAATTTTTAAAAAGTGTAAAAATTTTGTTTTACAAATTTTTGAGATTGAAAAATATTAAAATTATCTAAAAACAAAAGAAGGAATTTCC